ACAACGGAAAAATATATAGAAATTGACATCGTTTTAAATAAACGTCTACAAATGAATATTTTTCATGAAAAATATCGTCGGGTGCAAAGGGTTGAACGCGTTATTGCACGTTCGTCTAGCTAGTCGGCATTATTTCTAATTCAGAAATGTTCACCGATGACATTAGAGATTACATTCCGATCGGAAAGAAACACCTTCCTCGATTCCTTTATTTCCCCGCGCTCCCCCCGCGACTGGGAAACGACGGATCATTCGAGGCCCGCGTTTCCAAGAATCTTTAATGATCCCCGTCATGCAACGCCGCGCCCGAGCCGTCACGAGACCCGCGAAAAGAGAACGCAAAGCTGGCACCAGCGAACAAGCGTTTCGGCAATCCGGTTCGCGGCTAGAAACGCTCGCGAAACATTCACATTTATATATTATATTCGCTTCATGGCCGAACATCGAAGCTTATAGTCTAACAAGGGGAAGTCACAGAGCTCGGGAATTCGAAAAATTATAACTCCGTGTGTAAGTGCAAATCGAGTCTAATACAACTCCGATTTTCTTCAACGTTTGCCAAATTCTGTTTCGCGATTTTATGGACTTGAAACGATAGTGTACTTTTCGTTGAAACCTTTTCACTAGAAAACACGGTTCGATCTATTATACATATAACATCGAGAACTCTTCGTGTGGAAAATGGAATAACTTTAGGGTAGTTTCTTTAAGATTCATTAGAATATCTAATATTATAACTGGTACAAAATTGGAGCGTACAGAGTTCAAAGGGTTAAGAATTCTTAGGTCTCCGTTCTCTCGAATGAAAGATCATCGAATCTTCCGGAACACGGTTCAATCTATTACACATAACATCGAGAACTGTTCGTTTCTCTCGAAGAAAAACAGTCGCCAATCGTCGAGCCTTCCGCGACACAGTTCAATCTATTGTCCCTCCATCGAATCCTTCTTCTCTTAACAAGTTCTGCAAGATGGCGGACGTTCAGCTTCGCAATCCCGAGATCCGTTTCGTAAATCGCAAGGAACCGGCGCCGGATATCCTAGGCGTCAGACGAATGGAGCACGCGGATCTGACGTCACTGGAAACACTGATGCGTCCGGAGACCAGCGAGTTGTTCGGCGACGTGGACCCCGGTCGCGTCTAGTAACTTCCGTTGAAATTGTTAGAGACCCGACGCAATGCGAAACGCGAGATCACGGGAAACGTTCACGTCCCCAGCGAGTCGAGTTGCCTGTCGGTGGTGCAGTGGAACGGGGAACGGGACGTGGTCTCGGGCATGTGTCTGTGCAATTATCCTAATGTGCCGTCGGTGACTCCGGAGGACTGGCCTAGCTGGTTGCGCACGTTATACGGGTAAAACGCGACGGGTCTCGTCGAAAAATCCGACTTAAACGCGCCGCGGCGATTCCAACGGCGGGGCGTGCTCCTTGAAACTCCTATAAAACGGGGGGGAAAAATCGCACGCAAGATTCTAAGCAATCATTACAAAAGGTAGACTCCAACCTACAAGCCTCTAGTAGTTTCATTGAAAAAACAAAAATATTAACATCGTTAGAAGCGTACGATCCCGAAAATCGTACGATCTCGGACACGGAAAAGTACCTCTGCCTTGTCGCCCGTTGCACAAAGAAGAAACATGGTATCTAAAAATACTTTATACTAGACTAAAGTAGAAGCCTCACGCTTTAGAACAAGCCTACAAAGAATACCACACGACTTTTCCTTACGAAGTTCCAGAACTTCTAAGATCGTCGATTTCGTTTCTCGCGATCCTCTAATTCCAACCGAAAAAACGACCGTAGAGACACGGTAACGCACTTTGTCAGCGGGGACGAGGCACGGGAAAGGAACTGTTACGTGGTAGTGTGTGTAAAGTGTCGGATAACGTCTGTTAGTCTATCGCGAACACGCGTGCGTCGATCGTCCGGCCGACGAGCCGCGGCGTATCGCCTCTCGGCCTGTCTCTCGCGCGGAGAAAGGTCAGGGATCGCCGGTGTCCGTCCGCTTCACCTACGCCCGGCTTCGTCTTCGAAAGGGTCGGGGACGCAACGGAAAGAAACTCGCTGTTCGTGCACCTCCTTGTGTGGGACAGCCGGTACACCGGCCGTTTCTTCGAGGACCTCCTGACCGGTCTGTTCAACATCGCCCCGTATCTGCTGCACGTGATCCTCGTGCATCCCGCGGGGGTCGGGCCAGGTGACCTCTCGCGGCGCTCTCGTCGATCTACGATCGCGAAAAATCACCGCTCGAACCGCGATCTTTTCCAGCGGACGTGTTCGACCGCCGGATGATCAGGATCACGGCCAAGTGTTTCTCGGACGTGTGTCCCGTGCAGGATCTGCTGATCGCTGTCGGCCACCTGGAGAACGCTAGATCGAGGATTCGACGAGTCGTGTGAGGATCGTTAGCGGGGAACATCGCCGATCGCGGTTTCTATCTCTTCGCCTTGCGACGACGCGAGCTGTTCAGATTTTAGCAATGCGGTCGATTCCTTTTGAAATTTGATCAAGTTTCACGAGTATCAGTTTCTGTGGATCCGAATGAAATATTATTCTGTTACCGATTATTACACTTTAACTCTCTGTAGGCTTAACTTTGGAATGTTGGAATCTTGTTGATTTATTTCATTTTGCACTCAAAGTGGCGAATAAAATTAAATAATCAATTAACTTAAACTTTTATACGCTCAGGCATGAAAGTTTAACGTCATTGTAACTTGAAAGTTACAAAATATACTCGTTTCATCAAATTACTGAAACTATAGAGTACATCGTTAACTCATGTTCATATATGGATATTTATTAATTTTGTACACATTTCGTTATAATCGCGAACAAAAATTCGGCCCTAGAGTGTTAAAGCGAAGATAAACACAGAATATACTTAGAGATCCTCTTTTCCGATCTATCTATTACAAAGTATATCATCCCCAAGATCATCGTTCACTCATCACAGAGAAGAAGACAACGACATCGTGATACCCCTGATCGACGCAGAGTCCAGCGCGCTGAAAGAGCACTACGGCGAGTACTACGTGAGCGAGATGGTTCGCTACCCGAGCGAGTGTCGCCAGCTGATCGTCTCCGAGGACCAGGAAGGTCTAGCCACCGGCGTGATGTTCCTCAACAGGAACATAGACGTGGACCTGCTGAACGAGAATTTTCACCTCGATCTATACAACGGACTCAGGAAACCTCATAAAGACGACGAGTTGCCTGCTACCAGCATGGAGTCCGAGACCTTCTTCTCCATCTTCTCCGACAAGCCTGCAGAAACGTATTTACAAAAATCCAGTAGAATCCAGAACGTAGCTATTTACAAAAATCCAGTAGAATATATGCAGAAGAACGTAGCTATTTACAAAAATCCAGCAGAATATTCCCAGCGAAAATGAGAATTTTCCTTCGTTTTCCTTGTTAGTAGAAAATTTGGATGCGTGGAGAATCGAATAATTGTAGAATATATCCAGAAGAACCTAGCTATGTATAAACGTCGAAGAAACAAGAATTATCCTCTGCACAGCCCACCCATCCTGATCTCGAGTGGAGTCCTCCGAGAGAAAGATGAAGACGACGAGAACATTGGCTCTTCAGCTTCCTCTTCCAGTGCGTCGAGAGAGGAGCGAGAGAAGTCGGGAAGAAGGAACAGCGAAGGGAAGTCTTTCATCGATGACATAGACGACGACTATCAAACGTACTACCGATCTAGAGTCCTGCAGGGACTCTTCGACTCCACCGATGAAATTCCGCGTGAGTTTTCGCGAGAATCGGTAGAATCGGTAGAGGATCGTCACTGAGGAGACTTGTTTTCGTAAAGAGGACGTTGCTTTGTTGACGGCGAGGGAAGCTGGCCAACCGGAAGTGATTCGGCTGCCGAGGCCGATTTATCGCGGCGAGAAGAACGCGTTCGTCGTCGAGATCCTCGCGATGCAACGGCTGAAACACGGCTCGAGCAGGGACTTCCTCGAGGCTGCGTTCGAGTGTTTCCCCGAGCTGGACTATTGCGCGATCCTGTTGCCTTTCTCTCACCCGCCGCTCTCCTTCCTTGAACATTTTCTGGTGCGTTTTTCCTCCGTTCACTCGACACCTTAACTAGCTTGTAGGATAGTCGGATCTTTGGCGGCGCTGATTAACCCTTTGCGCTCGGGAGCTTGTCACTAGAAACATTCGACAGTTTACTATAAGACGTAAACGACATTTGAAACGAACTAATATTTTAGAGAAATATTTCACATATTGATGCATCATACGTAACTTAACCCTTTACTCGAGAGGTGACTCTCAGTCACCACTTGATTTGACTTGCAAAATTATAAAGTCTTGTATATAATATTAAGCTTTGCATGATGCATCAATATGTGGAATATATATACTATCTTCTTAACATTAATTAGTATCATATTGTGATTGGAAGGTTTCGCGAGAACAAGCGTGTGATTTAACCCTTTGAACTCCGTAGGCTCCAATATTGCACCAGTTATAATATTAAATATTTTAATGAATTTGAAGGTAACTACCTTAAGATTATTAGAATTATCTTCTTAACATTAATTAATATTCATATACTATACATTGTGTCAGTGACCATACGACAAGCTCCGTATACGCATCAAATTAAACAAGTTATAATTAATCAGTGTCGCATCCGACGCGTGAAGAGTCTCTCGTCCCAGAATACCCGTCGAGGACAGTATCTTTCCACCTAAAAATAAGCGACTTAAGATTCTTTTCACTCGGAAACCTCTGAAAAAACACAATCCTCAGCGAATACCGGTCAGATGCGACAAAGACTTCCCGATGGCCCTGCACGTGACGCACCGCGCGGCTCTCCTCGGCAAAATGGAGGTTCGTCTGGCGTGCCCTGACGATCGGTCCGCTGTTCAACATCTATTACAAGGACTCCATAAGGCGCAGAAGGTCCTGCAGGACTTCGACGAGGCGACGACCGACGAGAAATCGGGTTTACTCTGTTACGCGTTCGCTTGGAACGAGCAGATCGTCGGTGTGACGATTTTCTGGTAACTTGACATCGATCTCAACGAAGTCTCGTAAAGAACAGAAGGAAAGACAGTTTATTCGTCGCTCGACCAGCGAAGAGAAGGACTCTGCATACATCAGAAGGCGTTTCCACGTGGAAGATTACATATCCACGAGAGACTTGCCCCGGGACGCGTACGCTCGTTTGCTGCACTTCGTCCTGATGCCGATCTTCGCCATTCACCTGCGCCATTTCTTCGCCGAGATGACGCGTCTCAGCGGTCTGATCGTTTTCTACTACCGTCTGCTGGAGAACTCGTTGAGCTCGCTGGTAAAAAATCTGAAAAGGCAACTCGTCGACGCTAGAACTCCTGGACAGACTAAAATCGACTAGTCGACCGATCTCTCTGGAACAAATATTTCATTCATGAAAACGTAGGAATACTCTGAGGAATAGTCGAAGCTGATAGTGACACCTAAACTGAAGTATAAACGCGTTGTAGTTTCTACCAAGGAACTCGACGAAATCGGTCGAAGTGCTAGCGTCGACCGATCTCTTCTACTGGGAGGGAACAAATATTTCATTCATGAAAACGTAACTCTGAGGAATAGTCGAAGCTGATAGTGACACCTAAACTGAAGTATAACTCATGAAAATAAACGCGTTGTATTTTCTACTAAGGAACTCGAAGAAATCGGTCCAAATTCTAGCGTCGACCAGATATCCCGAGAAAAGAGAATTCTAGAATCCCCGAAATTTCCATTCGCTGTTTTAGACGCGCCAGCAGCCCCTGCCAGTCTGTCTGAGCGCGATGATTCACGTGCGTCCTCGGAGGAGAATAGAATATAAGTTCCGCGGCATGGCGGAGGCCGATCAACTGAAAAACGACGAACCTTTCTCGCTTTTCATGGCTACGCCGAGGATCGCGGCCGGTAATCTGGTTCTCGACGCGAAGATCGTGGTGGTCGGCGCGTCGGACTGCGGCGTGGCCTTTCTGGAGCGTATGATCTTCGGGTAAACGCGACCTTGAACAGCCTCGAGCAAACGATCTCGGGAATTGGGACGTTTCCAGATCGCCGCGCGATTCCGCTCGCTGCGCGAACCTCACGCTCGTGTCTCCGCGCGGATTGCCGTTCGAGAACGAACGCGGCGCGATGGTCTCCGGCCTGCTCCCTTTTCGTGGCAGATACTGCAGGGAATATCGTCGTTCGGTCGCTGCGCGTGCCTCGATTAATGTCGTCTACGGCGCCGTGGTGGCCATCAACAGGTGCATAGGAAACTCAACGTCCGTTCGAGGCTTTCACCGGGAATGACGAATGTTTAACGCGTTAAGCGACGTGTCAGCCACTGGTGACCGAATGACTAAAAAACTATCGTAACGTACAAGACGACCGATGTGAAATAAAAATGTTTAATGAGGCAACTAAGTTGATAATAGTGTAACGCCGAACGATTCATAATTGTTCCTACTTTTCTTTGCTACAAAGGACAAACTCTATGGGGAAACATTTAAGGTTTTTCGCGGCGCTTAACGTGTTAACCCTTTGCGGACGAACGTCGACATTTCGGCGACATGAAATTTTCATGTTTCCAACACTGAGTCGCAAACAATTGATCGAATTACTGAGAAAGGGTTAAGAGAAACTTTCTATATTTTGGAAAATAGTTTAAGATTGACCTTAGGTGAATCAGTTAGTCCGGATTACTAATTACGAATTAGATAACCAAAGCTATCTTAGGTATACTACAGTAACGATGACTATCATCGCTATGGCGATTAACTTAGCAATTATCAGGAAAGAGAAATACGTGACGGTGATGCACCAAGGAGACGTGACGTACGATTACCTGGTAATCACCTGCGGGCTGCAATACCAGAAGCCCAAGCTTCGAGAGGAGCTAGCCGCGCAGAAGAGAGGGTAGTCCAACGATGTTCTCAGGTCAAAACGATTGATTCCACCGGTCCAATGTCTCTCGGCGTTAACACTTAGGCGACCGCCTAAAAAGAACTATAACTACAATCTCCTCCATTATCTTCGATTGAACTGATTCAATTAACACTAGGTTTACGAAACGCGTCAATTTGAGGCAGATTGAATTTTATAAACATTATTTGGTAAATGTTTCAATCGGTTTTCGTTGATCCATAAACCTAGTGTTAATAGCCAACAATCTTTTTACAGTATTGTACGATTCGTTTCGCTCGTTTCGCGCAAGAAGTTACAAAAATTCCATTTCGATAGTGCATTAAAGCGTTGTGAATTTTGAAAGAACACTTCAAGACTCACTAAATAACAAAAGGAAAGGTGAACAGAGTAAAAGGCAATGCTAAGTGAAAAGTGGGAGATCTCCCCGGTCGGCTAAGTGTTAAGATCGAAACGCCGATCTCGTCCCGTGGAATCAGTTACCTTGGCGAACGAGAGCGACTCTACAGTTTGTTGTTCCACGACTAGAGAATTGCTGGAAGTGGAGCAGCCTTGGAATTGTTTGACGGTCAACGACGACTCGCAGGCGGCCACGTGTTTAGACAAGATCCGGCTGCTGACGAGCAACCTCGAGCAGCGAAGTGAGCGACGATTCGGTAACATTCATTGCACGATCGACGAAATCGACGTCCTTTTCAGAGGACATCGTGCTTCATGGCCGCAACATCGACTGCTACTGCGTCCTTCAAGGTCTCCTGGCGTCCGGGATACATGGATCCTGGATCAGCTTGATCGAGCCGCCGATGCAGCCTTGCGAGTCGCGCGAGAGCGTCTTCTTCGACGACTGCGAAGTACGATCGGTTGATTTTCCTCAAAATGAGTTTGACCTTGAATGACATTGAGTCACGGGTCGTTGAGTTAGCCTTAAAACGCACAATTCTATGGTGGATAAAAAAACGTGTTCCATTTAAAACAAGGAAGTTGACCTTCACCTCACCTCGGAGTGTCCACCAGGAAAAATAAAAGTTCCACCGCGTGATGTCACATGACGGAACATTTTTGCGTATAGTCAATATTTTCCACCCTGTATATAACACTTCATTATTTGATTTTATTGCGCGCGCAATGAGAGATTTTTCAAACTACTTCCACACTCAACTGGTTAAATAGAATGTGAAGTCTGCGACAAGTGTTTAACCCTTTGCACTCGGAAGCTCCTAGAATCGACACTATTTGAAACGAGCTAATGAGAAATAAATCAAGAAACAGCTATTTTATATAAATACTTCACACATTGACGCGTTATACGAAACTGAATATTACATATAACACTTCGTAATTTTGTTATATCGAATGAAACGCCTGAGAGTCGCCTCTCGAGTGCAAAGGGTGAAAGGTATCGTCTCCGAAGGTGTACACGGAAACGATGGACCGGATCCTGGCCAATGGCGTGAAGGTCCTATCGGAATGGGAACTGATCGACTGGCACCTGAAGGACTCGACAGCCGGGAAGATCATCGAATCGTTGGTCCTGCGATCGAAAGAGAAGACGAAGACGCTCCCGTGCGACGCTCTGATCAGCTTCCACGAGAAGACGATCGATCCGAAGATCTTCCTCGGTGAAAACATCGACTTGTTCGAATCCGCGACTCGAAGGACTCGAGACTCAACGATTTCCGTCGGTCCTTTCCAGCGTTCTGCAGGGCTGGCATCATGTTCGACGGTCAGCTGGTGATAGACCCCGAATTCCGGACGAACGATCCGTTTATTTTCGCGGCTGGCACCAGCACGAAGTACAGCAGGAAGTTCTACGCGGAGTCCTGGCAGCACAGGCACTTCAACAGCGTGGAGATCGGCGAGAGAGTTAGTATACAAGGTGTCCTGCGAGTCGCGATAGCGATCGGACACTGGGAGCATGGGAAATTACAAAATGGCCGAAGACCGGTAACCCCTTGCCCTGTGATTTATTTCTCAGTTGCGATCGGTACAGTCAGTAATTTATCGGAGAAAGGAAGAAATTCGATGCGTATTCTCTCCATCTTTGCTCTAAAATATATTCAATGTTATAATATAATAAATAATACTCGTTTGCTAGATTCTGTTAACCCTTCGCGGACGAGTGTCGACATTTCGAGATGAAATTTCCATATTTGGAAGAGTGACTCGCACACAAACAATTCAATTACTCGAACAGCAGGAGATCAGTGTATAATTTCTTTTCTTTTCATTATTTAACCCCTTGCACTCGAAAGTTTTTCACTGGGAGCACTCAAGATCTTTGGAGATGTAGACGACATTGTAATTCATTTAAGAATTCACTGATGAACTAAGCAACAAAGCTATTTTAGTCAAATATTTCACATAGTAGTACAAAGTTTAATTCAGAATACTAAATATTCTACTGAACAGATTTGCCGTATCAAAATGTAATCGTTCGATACAACAAAACTATGAAGTTGAATATTTAATGTTTCAAATTAAAGTTTGCATTACTACGTGAAGTATTTAAATAAAACACCGCTTAATTTATTTATGAATTATCGTTAAATTAGTTTCAAACAATACGACCTATATCTCGTCGGAAAACGTTGAATATTTCCATTGAAAAACTTTCGAGTGCAAAGGGTTAAGCAATCGATATACAATTCAACTTCATGCACCGAAGGTTCCGTATATTTCAAAGAATCTTCGCAAAGGGTTAAAGTCTTCGCGAGTGACGCGTCATTGCTTGGCAAGGGGTTAACGTTGAATCTGCGGTCAGATCGATCTCGTCATTTCACCGTCGTACTTCGTCGCTGAAGTGTCATGAAAGATTCATTTCCCGAAGCTCGCCGGTGTCGTGCGATCGGCAATCGACGCTCGTCAGCGACGCGGCGAAGAGGTTCCGGCGACTTCGAAGCGTCCGTCCTTCCCTTCGTTTCGGGCTGCGAACGTCGTGGCGTGCACTCTGCCCGGCGGCTATCGTTATCTGCACGTCCGCAAGCCTGGGAGGATCGTGACGCGCAAACGGCCGCGTCCATATGACTTTTCCGTGAGTCCCGGCCTGCCTTTCGGCTCTTTGTTCTTCCTCTCGACTTTCCTTTTCTTCCTCGCGGCGCTGCTCGCTTCTTATTCTTCCCTTTATTCGCATTCCGAGCGAACGATCGCGTTCAGGGCACAGAAATGGTGACCGGCAGCTGCTCGTCCGAGATCGGCCTCTTCCGCCTGCGACTGGACCGATACGACTCCGTGGAAATGGTCACCTGCGTGAGCAAAAAGGTAGACAGCTGACACTAGGACCATCGAGCAGTTTCGGTGGCTCGGTTTCGTGTTCAACGAACGAATGGCGTTAACCCCTTGCCCTGTGATCTCTTTCTGAACGATCGACTTAACCCTTTGCGGACGAAGATCCTTCGAGACATACAAAACTTTCAATATATGAAGCTGAATTATATATCAATCGCTTAATTAATATAAGAAGAGAAAACTATGCGCTGGTCTCTTGCTGTTTCACTAATTAGATCGTTTGTCCGTGGTTTAATCTTCCAAATCTGAACATTTCATCTCACAATGCCGACATCCGTCCGCAAAGGGTTAACTCTGCACTCGAGAATATTTTTCGCAAGAGATATTGCTCATTCTCTAATGAAATATCAATGGTATTTTTTACAATTAATATAAAGAAACCATTTTATTTATTTTATTTCGATGTTCCACGTGTCGGTAGATTATAGAAAATTTAATACTGAATTCTAAATTTTATAATTTCGTTGGGTTAAACAAAATGCCTCTCGAGTGCAAAGGGTTAATTCGTCGTCGGACGTTCGTTCGTTCCGAAACCTTTCAGGATTTCGAGGTGCGCCAGCTGATCGAATTATACGGGAAGCACGAGAGCTTGCTGAACGAGCTGAAAACGCGATTCAAAGTAAGCCTCTCGCTTATGGTTCCCTAGAATCGTATCCCCGCGGTGACGCGCGATCCCTTGCTTCAGGAATCGTTGATCTCGGACTTGTACGCGTACTTCCGGGAGCCGTGGGCGACGGCGATCTTCCACGACCGATTCGACTGCCTCCGCGTCGAGAACCGAGCGGTTTTGCTCTCGAAAACGGTAAAACCAGGCTAGACAACCAATCGCAGTCGCGAAGTAATCGACCGTCGAACGTTGCGATCGTTTTCGTAGGCGATTCCCGGCCAGTCTTTGGTGGAGGACTGCGTTCGCGCGTTGAAGAAGTCCAATTGGGGACCGGTGAGTGTTGCAAATCGCCTTCGACCTTAACACATTGAGCGCCCACATTCGATTTCTGTATTTGACGAAGGTGCAATTAAAATGTACTGTAGGCCTGTTTAGCGCGCACGAATTAACTCGAGCGTGCAAGTTAAGGGGTTAAATGTCTCTTAAGTCGCCGGCGCTCAATGTGTTAACACTTGGACCGCCTAAGAAGAACTATAACTACAATCTCTGTTATCTTCAATTGAACTCGTTCGCTCGATTCGATTGGAAACTGTGTTCTCTAAGAAGAACCGTATACTAAATAACAAAAGACAAATAGAATGAAAGGCGATACGTTGCCAAGTGAAAACTGGCAGATCTCCCCAGTTGGCTAAGTTAACACTAGATCTACTGGCATTTACAGTTCGTTCCATTGTTCTTGGGAAACTTGTTATCCGTTCATTTAGACCGTGGAAATTAGAGGTTTTAGAGTAGACAATTAAGGCACATATTCGCGTGACTAATAAAAATGCACCGAAATATTCAGGAAATAATGCTCGTAAAATTCAATACGAGTCGAGCGTACTCGTCCCGTGAATCTAGTGTTAATACATTGTGAACCGGTCGCGTAACCGGACCGGAGACACGAGGAATCGGTGAGCGACGCGTTCAAATCGATCGAAACGGAACGAAGGGATATCTCGTAGCTTGATTGTCCGCCGGTGAACGTGTTCAGATGCCGGAGGACGATCGCCGCCGCATAATATCGAAGTACGCCGGCTCGCCGTACCAGCAGGAGCTCGAGCGGAATCTCCTGCAGTTCCTGCAGTTCTTCGAGGAGGACGCACCGGTTTATTGCACGCCTGGAAAGCTGCGGGAATTGTACGCGGACGTCGAGGACAGTCCGCTGTACTCGCGGCTGTGACCGGGCCCAGTCGTCGATCCTGTCCCCGCGTCTGTCACGCTTTCTCGAGCAACGAAAACGCGAAATAAACGACGCCGACCGGCCGCACACGCCAGAAAATTCTCTCTCGTCATTCTAGCTCGCGCACCGGTGACACCGATGCTTCACCTGGACTAACTCTCGCGTTACCGGAGATCTTCAACCCTCTGCTACCAAAGAGTTTGCCTTTGTTCGCGGTACAAGATTTCTATTTGAATCGAGCAATTTGATATAATTCTTAATACCTTGCACTCCAGAGGTGCCTCTAAGTCACCAAATGATTGAGCAGAACTGTAAATTTTGATATTTAATATTAAACTTTATATATGCATCATTGTACGAAATATTGAAAGAAAATAGTTCTCTTCCTCAATGCATGTGAGATTTAATTGAATCTAAGGAAATGTCATCTGTATCTCATTAGAAATATTGAATATTTCCGGTGAAAAACTTCTGGAGTGCAAAGGGTTAATACGTTGCTTGGTAGATTGGGAGAGTTTGGCTCCGATCAGATTCTGCTATCGCAATATTTCTATTTGAATCGAGCAATTCGATCTAATTCTTAGCCCTTTGCACTCCAGAAGTTTTCTATTGGAAATACTGAACATTTTCTAATGAGATGTCAACGACATTCTTTCAAACTGAGATGACAAGAAATCAAATCAATTGGCGGCTGAGAGGCGTCTACGGAGTGCAAAGGGTCAAAGATCGTCTTCGCCTCGTCAGGAAATGTTGAACATTTCCCAAGCGAGAAATGATTTCTGTCTCTTAACCAACAATAAGAACCACCTCCCATCGATTTTCCGCAGTTCCATGGGAAACGTCCCTTGAAATGGTGCGATCGGATCGCGTCACGGCTCGACGAGCGACGCGCTCGTCGGGGAACCGACCGATCATCGTCGGAAGCCGTCCCCGTTCGGTGCGCGCGGCCGTGTCCGCTTTCATTTGCATGCGATCCGATCTGTAGGTCAAGTTTAACATTCCACGAACGCTGCTCCGTAAAGGCGGCCGTTCAAGGCGCCGCCCACGCCGCGGCCACCGGCGGCAACAACAAATACACACCGCGAGCGCGGTACAGAAATGCCACGGCTGAAACGCGGAACCGATCTCCGCCGCTTATCAGGCTCTGTTTATCGTTCGGCCGATTTCACGCTCTCTCCTCTGGCCCACGATTGAGAGGAACGCCGGGTTCGGGGACGATTAATCCCTCGGCGATCGCGATTCCTAGGCTGGAATCGGACCGGTTCGTTTATTACGTACCAGTGATCCAACTCGTCGTTCCATTAGTTATTCCAGCGTTCTTATTATTTACCCTCGGCCTCCGTTTGCAACCGTAGAAGACAAGGGTCGACGATCGATCGCGAGAATCAACCAACTCGAATCCTCCGAGCGATACGGTGGATCGAATCCTGATTTACCTTTGAAACTAACCAGCTAATCGACTACCGATTAGTTAATTATTCACATTAGTTTAACCTAGTTCGATCGATTTCCTGATTTCACTTTCCAAAAACGCGCGTTGAAAGCTTCTGCTTCTGAAAGGGGTTGATTACTCGGACGCCCACACTAGCTACCGAAGCTAATTGATCATCTTAGCTACCTAATTCAACACTGTTGAATATTTATTTGTAGAAACAAAGAACACAGTTTGGAAAGCTAAGTGTATATTTATTAAAGTATGTAGTACGGTGCTTTACAAACGCTCCGTTTTTCAGTTTTCTTTCACGTCAACGGTTCAGCGTTTGCTCCGAAACTGTACGAACGACGCGGAGAAAAGAAAAACGCTCAGCGCGTCCACCAGGAAAAACACCTGACGAAACAGAGGACTGCACCACCACCTTCCAGTCATTAAAAATATTCATGCTCATTCTCAACACTCACCCGAAATTCATCTTTCTCGTCCCTCGCGTTCGACTCGAAATCCGCAGAAACTCCACCGCCATCGCAGCTCGGAAGATCCCACGGGGTAGCGCGTACGCGGCCCACCCTCCGCATTCCCGCAGTCCGAAGTGAGTTATAGCCCGCGGAGCGTCGTAACTCTCCTCGCGCGAGACGAGAAGGGACTCGCGGTTACGACGCATCGTTTCAATTTGCCAAACGGGCGAATCAATCGCAATTTACGCCCACGCGCGACTCGCTCGCCGCGTTCCGCGGCTGTAAAACCGTCCGCCGAAGAAAGATGAAAGGGAGAACGGTCGCGTAGGTCCGTCGAACATGGCGGCGACGGCCAAATATCTATCGCGTTGATCGGCGAGCGGTTCCCGCTACCGGAAATTGGGCCATAATTAACCTCTTTGGCAGGCGGGCGCTCGGAAACGAAGATCCGCGCGCTCAGTCAAGGCTGATCCTCTCCCACGTGGCCGCATCGATTTACATTTTTATATTATTACCTGGCACACCGATCGCGGTATCAGTCGCGCGTGAACCGCGAGGTACCCCGGAACTGATTCTCCGATCTTCGGCTAGGACGACATCCGCTGATAGCTAAGGCGACATGAGCAGACCGCTCACTTCGTACTTCTACGAGAGGAAGTGCTACCTCTGCGAGCGGCGCACGGTTTACCCCGAGGTGCCCAAGAGGTCGGCCAAGAAGGTCAAGTTTACTTTCGCCGAACCGAGTAAGTGAGGGTCGGGACACCTTGAACCGAGAGCTCGGGGATCCAGTCGTTGATCGATCGGATCCTTGAGTCTCGATTTATCTTCGCGGTCGATTTATCTTATGGCTGCTTAGTTAGCTACTCGGTGGGCTTCTTAATTAGTTTAGACAGCTACTTAGCTACCTGCTCGACAGTTCTTCCGAGTTACTTCTTTTTCAACTTTCCATCTGAAGTTCGCTGTCATCTCTCTTTAGCTATTCTAACTTCTTAATTAGTTTAGACAGTTGCTCAGCTACCTGCTCGACAGTTCCGAGTTCCATTTTCTTTTTGAACTTTCTAAAGTTCGCTGTCATCTCTCTTTAGTGCTCCGTTGAAGCTTCGACTCGTTGGAAATGAGAAAAAAGAGGATCGGACGCGTCGCGCGCCTCTAACCGAGTTTCTGCCAGCTTCTGTTATTTACGTTCCGCGGAATCGCGCTTTGAATCGCGTCCAAATGCACGGCGACCTTGACGCCGGGTCAATGTCGCGCTATTCTGGTCACTCGGTCCGCGACGCCGTTAAACGCGAGTCCGAGGACGTTCCTCGGTGTTCAGCGTTATTGAAATAACTCGCGAGGCGTCGCAGACTCGCCGCAGTCTAATTCATTTCTATTCGCAGTTTTTGTCTAATTAATTTCTATTAACGCTATGCCGTCCGCATAATCGAGCTTAATCCGCTTAATCGAGAATCTTTTGTTCGGCGCCCGTACGACTCGTCGTTTTCTCGAGGTCTTCGCAAGATCATCAAACGTCAACTTTCACCGATCTCACTAGCTCTCAATCCTGTCCCTCGATTTTCACGAAATTTCGTGGATATACGTAGACGTAAGATTCTTTTGCATTTGTTCGATAGCTTCGCAAGTGACACCAGCATGGTGTCACCGGACGGCATAGTGTTAATTCTCATCGAATCATCGAATAACTGGAAAGAAGTGCAGTCGGTAGATCGTAGCTGTCGTCCGGGGGATGCTCGATCTCGCGACGCAATCGTGAAACAGGATTCCACAAGTTTACGCAACGGTTATTATACAACTATTACGATTAGCACGCCTCCGCGGAGGCATAATTAGCCAGTGATAATGGGAGTATCGGTGTTATGTAACGAATGTGATCAGTCCTCCGGGCGGTCGGCTCTAAGCGCCGTAAAGGCGCGATCGACATTGGCGCGTTCCTCCTCCCGTAAAAGGGAATATTCCGAGACCCATATTCGCGACACGTCGCGCTGATTCACGTGTCTTTTGTCGCGAGAATCGACGCGGCGACGCGACACCTCGCCTAGAAGCGAAACGGGACGCTCCTCTTTCCCTCGATATCCTCACCGTCTCAGCCTCTTCGCCGATTCCTCGGAGAACCATTCGTCTTCTCGGTTGCTTCTATAGCGGTTACTATATTATAGATAGCGAAAGAGTGGATCTTGAGTAATTCATTGAAATATGGATTCATTCAAATATGGATTTATTAAAATATGTATTCATTCAAATATGGAAACAACACGGACAACACGTAAAAAATACAACTCAATGCCACGGAGGCCAACACACTCTGCTCTCGCCACTCTCGTACATTCGCTCCCCCACAAGCATTCTCGCTCGCACTCATCGCAAACACTCGGATGCACCCCTGGAAAGCTGGCCCTGCAGTTATATTCTTTCCATTCTATGTATTTAAGCTGTACGAGATCGCGCGACTATTCAACGCGTTGAGGATTGAGAACCGCTTTTCTGTTTCCACAGACAGAATGCTGAGATCAGCCTCGCCACAGTACCCTAGCAGGGGTGGCTCGGACGTTCGAGTGATCCGCCTGACTGCAGACCAGGAAGCTGTTCTTCAGGAGCAATTCAACAGGTGGCCCAGGGCACCACACACGGCGGATGTCGTCCTACTCGCTGCCGAGACAGGCCTCTCCGAAGCCGACGTCGAGGTCTCTATACTTCCGTCTCCTTTTCCAACGGGAAACAAACTTAACACTTTCGGCCGGGAATAATTTTTGCACTCGTTTGATTTAACTGTGGCGATCTCTTTGCAAAGCGCCCACCAGTGTGTGTCGGCAATACGTTGCTAAATGAAAAGTGGCCGATCTCCCCATTCGGTTGGCCAAGTGTTAACACTAGAGCTACCGTGCCAGTCAAAATGACTGGTTTTGATTTTTTTGTTCAGCAATTATTGATACCTTGATTCAAAATTATCTTGAAAATCAATAGTTTCACTTGACTACTCTAATGAATGTCTGAAGAAACTGAAAACAATCTGTTAGAATTTTTATGGAGATTATATATTAACCCTTAACACTCCAGATGGTTTTGTAATTTATCAGCAACTGCAACTAATTTTTATAGTATCCCCGGCAAAAATGAGAAATGCTATAACATTTTCTAGTCCTTTGCGTGAAAAATCTGATAATCACAGGGTAGTTTCTTTAAGATTCATTAAAATATCTAATACTCTTCCTGGTGCAATACTGGAGCCTACAGAGTTGAAAGAGTTACTCGTATTAAATACACGATAGTTCTATTATTAACTAAGGCACCTTTTTCTACCAGAGTAACCAGGTTTCCTCTGTTACAGGCTTGGTACGCTATTCGTCTGGCCCAATGGAGGAAGGAGCAGGGCCTGGGCGGGAACCTTGGTTTACATTGATGCCTCCTGACGTTGCGACCCGCCGACATTGTCGTACCCGTGTACCTGAAACGTTTAATTCGTATACGAACCGCGCGAGAACCGACAACGAAATCAATTCCACTCCACGCTTTCCAGCTTCCAAGCGACCGTACTCGCGTCAGCGGACACCTCTAACACAGAGAACCATGGCAACGCGTCGATTATTTAATTTATATGTTAATTGTTAGCGGCGAAGCGTTTGCCAGGCGAGACGGTACCAAAAACATAAAGTAGTTCTGTTAATAGCTTCTCCTTAACCTCTTCTACCCTCGGAACTGGTCGATCCTTAGAAAAGAAACAGGAAACTGGAGAGTAACGTTAACGCTATGAGAATTTAGATACTTGTGACGTAACAAAGGCTGGTATCGAGATTAGCTATTAACGCTAGATTTACGGTACGCGTCAATTCGACGCACATTGAATTTTATAAACATTACTCTGTAAACGCTTATGTCAATTTTCATTGATGCAATTACACGAATGCAGGACTAGTTTAGCGTTCGGCATCGAACGCTCGCGCGCTGCCGAGCGGAGAGTATAGCAAAATCGGCGCACTCAATGCGTTAACGAAGTCTGCGATCCGGGTAGCTGCGACGGACAATCGTAATTAATTATTGTAACCACTTGTTCCGCGGAGATGACATTACCAGCGAGTATTAACCATAGCGTACGCGTCACACGTCGTATGACCTGGTCGCCGTACAACAGCAGAACGAAACAGGTATCCATAATCATACGCCGGCGCTTCTGGATAGTTCTACTAATAAGACACGTGTGCGAGGATTGCACGGATACTAGAGATACACGTTTCCATAACCCAGTTACTCGAATAAATGTTACAGAAACTCATTGCTGAGAGCTACAATCGTCTGTGGATTACTTTATTGTCGATGCCACGCGACAAACTATGTACAGAAATAATCTCGATGCAACACCTGTAAATAGAAATAGTTAACATTCGTCGTATCGAGTATGGACACAGGTTCACGTAGAAAATGGACGTAACAATGTGAAACAAACGCGTCGATTATTTGAAAGGAAAGAGTCAACTGACGTTTTTGCCGACCGCGTCTTTGACGGAGTCCAGGCCGTGCTGCTCGAGTATCTCGTTCAGTTCCCGCTTAATTTTCGTCACCACCGGCGGTCCCTGGTACGCGAACGACGTGTACAGTTGAACCAGAGACGCGCCTGCTCGGATCTTGTCGTAAGCGTCCGCTCCGGTGAAGACTCCACCCACGCCGATGATGGGGACGGTACCGCCGGTCCGTCTGTACATGTCGGAGATCATCGCGGTGGACATGTCGGTCAGAGGAGCTCCGCTGAGACCTCCCTCCTCTCCTTGGAGCGGGCTTACTAAATTGTTTCGCGTGACGGTGGTATTGCACAATATCAAGCCGTCTATTTTCGTTTTCTCCTTCGATATCACGTCCGCGATGTCCTGCTTCTCTGAGTCTGACAGATCCGGGGCGAGCTTCAAGAGCAACGGCTGTTTGCTCTGCATTGAATGCCTGACCTCGTTTATTCTTGTTAACAATTGTTCTAAATCATTCTTGCTCTGCAAGGACCTCAATCCGGGAGTGTTCGGACTGGACACGTTGATCACAAAGTAGTCAGCCACGTCGGAGAACTTCTTAATGCCGTCTATGTAGTCCTGAGCCGCATCTTCCATTGTCTTGTTCTTCCCCAGGTTCACTCCAACGATACCGTGGAAGGATCTGTTGTCCTTGAGTTTCTTTAAACGTTGCCATACAACGTCGTGTCCTTCGCTGTTGAAACCATACCTATTGACGACTGCGTTGTCTTCTTTTAATCTGAACAGTCTTGGTTTCGGGTTACCGGACTGTGGCTTTGGTGTTACCGATCCTAGATATATAATTGATGGTGCTATGTAGAAATCGATTAGTTTGTAGTATTTGTTAATGGAGAATTATCGAGCTTACCTATTTCTACGAAACTAAACCCTATTCTGTGCAAGCCTTCCACTGCTTCTCCTTGCTTGTCGAAGCCGGCTGCCATTCCTAATGGATTTTTAAACTGCAGACCCCATACGTTCGTTCTGAGGGATGGCGGGTCTTCTGATTTTTGTTTACCTAAGAGACGGTACTTTAAAACTTTAATGGCAGCATTGTGAGCGAATTCTGGGTCTACAAGTTGGATTAATGGTAGAGCGTATTTATTGTAGAATTTCTCATCCCCTTGGTATATGCAAATACCACTGAACAAAGTTACGGCTGCACCGGTCACTGTCAACAGCGACTTGAGCTTTTCTTTGCTACTCAAACCTCGAGCCATTTAATAAGTTAGTCGGATAAGTACAATTTCTTTCTACAAGATACATTTAAATGTATCTTTGAGGTTATGTGCGACTGTATGCACAAATTTCGATTAAGGAGTATAACATGATGCTTGCTGTATAAAGTGTTGCGAATTAAATGACTTTAAAACGTTAAACCATATTTTTTGCAAGATTTATTTAAACTTTGTAATTCAAGTTTAACAGCGTCCGGCCACATTGTTACACACAAACGTCACCGCATTCTACCGATCAAAGTTGAAAGTTAAATGACAATCGGTGATAAGAGCGATCGGTAACATGAAAGTTACCGGTTACATAAAACTATTAATTGTACTTAGTGTAATATATTCTATTATTGAAATCCTGTACTCTGTTATGTATTGCATTATATGTATTTCATCAATGATAAATAAATAATATGATTTTTAATAAAAATTAAGCTCTATTTTTTTCTTATTTATTCTATACATTAATTTGAGATCACACTCGAGTTATAATTAATGAGTAATTAGCGATTTTCGTATCGGCAGATACGTCCCATAAGAGCGCAATGAGTGCGACAAGGACAGAGATAGTTGCATTGTCCCGCCATCTAACATGCACCAGCTGGTACTATTTGGCTAGAAGTTTCAGCATCCTCTGGATAGGTGGCACACCAATCCATGATATGGGCGGGAACTTTAAAAATTATTTTGTTATTAATTATTGCCATATAAATCCTCATCGAAGCCCCAATGATGTAACCCTCGAA